TAACAACCCTGGTGTTTTGCATGATGACGAGGTTATTTCTTGGGATCTTGAGTTGATGACTGAAAATGTTTTTGTCATCAAGGGGAAACCAGTGAATGAAATGTATGGATGCATGTTTCCTTAGGGTTTCCAAAGTTTAAAAGACAAGAACAGGAAATGTATTGTGGTGAAAAGAAAAAAAACTGTGTTGGTCCGTCCTTCACATCTAGCTGGCTTTCCTTGTGTCTGTCCTCAGCCCTCAGCCCATCCAAGTAATCCTTAAAAAAAAAGGTAACCAATGTAAACTTTAATGTTGTACATATCCTGTAAGGTCGTATTGGGCTTCACCATATCAGGTTTTAACTGCATCAATCTTCTGATGCCATCAGCTATATGGGACTGATGACGAGATATGCTTCTGGGTGATGATGGTCAACATTACAGGAAGTGTTGTATTGTCGATGTAGCAAACTGCATTGTTCAAAATCTAATTAGAAACTTCAGCATGAAACTGTGTTCAGATCAAAAAACAACAGAAGATTCTCCTCTTTCAGAAACGTCTGCCGTCATTTCAGTTTCTCATTCACGATGTCTGTTTGTTGAATTGATCATCTCTGATGCGTTCCAGCAAGCCGCCACACGACCGTCCAAGAGAGACAGGCTGTCATCTCTATATAGAACAGAGTACACCAAAGCCTGCTGATGTGTGATTGGCCGATATTTATCAGACTGCAAACGTACAATAAACAGAAACTAAAACACCTGCAACTCTGAAATTCAGATTATTAATTCTTATAAAGCAATTAACAGCATCACCTGCTAGTTGGACATATAGAATGCTTTGTAGGATTTGTTGACTACAAGAAAAATCTGGGATTTGTTCTTAAGACCAGTTTGATTTTGTTGTTATTTAGCACACAGCTGTCATGGTTACGGTAGAATAAGTTAGCACAGTGTCCCCACAAGTGATGAAAGTCAGAGTGTGTGTGTGTGTTTGTTTGTGTGTGTGTGCCAGAGAATGCCTTCTCATGCTGCTCCTAATCCGTCCCAGATTGAGGTCAGTGGGGCTGCTGGAGGATCTTGGTGTGTTTACAACCTCGGCCTGACCCCTCGCTGAGATTGGCTGACTCCTCCAGTGTAGGGATCTGATTCGTCTGGAGTACTTTTACTGCAGAAGCCTAAAGTGTTAAACATCTTTATATAAGATATCAGGCTGAGTGACGGGACATACTTTACCCCTCAAGCAGGTCCACAAAGGGGGGACTGGGAGTCACAATTGGGGTTTGTGGTTTGTTATAGTGATTCCCTGCTGCTTTAGAAGGCCCGAGCATCACATGGGAGGGTTGCTATGGCGATGGCAGGTTGTAGCGTAGGTGTGTTGTTGTGGTAACAGTATGTGCATGGGATGCTGCCGTTCACTCACTGTTGACTGGAGAGTCAGAGCGAGAGGTCCTCGAGGGGAGCAGAATCAGACTTTTTATGACGCTCTTGTTTTTCTCTCTTTTCTGACACAGAGCGATAAAAGAGAAAGATAATCCCTTCAACACAGGCCCTGGTGATACGCTTAATATATTAATTGCATTTCCTTTGATACAGATACAACATTAGAATTGAAGACGGTATTATTGTAAAAGAATGCCGAGGCTAAATCCTGTTACAAATAAAGCATCTGAATAAAAACAACCAACACAGGCCCACTCACATTCCCATGTTAGTCGTTTCATAACACAGCCAACAAACAAATATATCAGCAGAATATTTTTATTGCTGCCCATGACTACCAATTGCCTCCCTTGCTTGCCAGGCTGTTTATCAAGCACTCAGAGTAATGGAGGAAGCAGATCAGAGGGCATATTCACTCACACCTCGTCAGTATTTTCCAAGATTGCTTCCATCTCTGGCAGGAGACTGTAAATACCTCCCAGAATGCAGCGTGTCATTAAAGTGCGACTGTTGTTTTGTTTTTTCACCCACCTGATTACTCACTTTCTCTCGCTGCCACTTCTGTTTTATCGTTGTTTCCCTCTCTGAGTGTCTTGTTAAACTCCGCTAACCAGATGTCGAGCCTCCTCTCCCGCCTCCTCTATCGTTTCTTCTCTGATCTCCCTCCCTTTGTTCCCCCCCCCCCCCCCCGCGTTTGTTTCATTAGTCGTGTCTGTTTCTTTGTTCTTGCAATCCCCCATCTCGCAATTTTACTCATGTTTTCACACACACACACACACGCACACACACGCAGCCTTGTGTTCTATGCACTTGGGACTTGTATGCACTCAGATGCATCAGTTGATTGAATTCTTCTCCTGCGTCTGCGCTGTCTTTGCAGGTGACTCGAGGAGACAAACAGACCCTCAAACATGCTGATTTGTCCTCCTCACAATGACAATCCCTTAAGAGGCTGAATAGCCCCCAACATCTTCACAAAGCACTCCACTAGCATAAACCCAAACAAAAGCTCTGCCACTTTCCAGGCTTCTAAGAGCGGCTCTCAGGCACCACATGGAAATGCAATAAAGCGTCTCCCTGCATTATTCGCTCAATTCATTTTATCCCAGCCTAGCTTAAATGCTTGACTGCTGTCCATTGTGAAAAACTGACGGCTTTGAATATTCTCCATTTCTTCAGCATTGTATAAATATGTATGGGCGCATATGCACATGTACACAATGCCTGTGTTTGTGTGTGTGTCGTTGCACCATCCGTACGCTTGCGGCCTTTAACCAGTGAGGTAATGTACTGCATTAATGACAGGGACACACAGGATACAGCTCCTACAGCACCACAGCTAATACCCCGTTATACTGGGACTACTTTTTCAATGTGTAATGACCTTGTGACCTTTACTCCTGAAGGTTGTCATTAATAAATCCCTCGAGGAAGTCCTAATCACAACTTCTTAAAGGACATCCTACCAGGCCCTGCATGTGCATTCATACACATATTTAACTAATTTACCAAACTCCCTAACCCCCCTTCAGGGATAAAGTCCAAAATCTCAGATCAGAGGACATTGTTTTCAGTATCTATCATATCTTTACTGCATGTTAGATCATTCTGAAGAAGGTTTCTAACCTTGTAGCAAAGTGTTTTTTTCTTCATCTTTGTGCAGTAAATCTGTAAACAACAAATTCAACACAGGATTTCTTCTAGCAATAATTTATACTTTTTTTTTTTTAAACTCCAACACAAAAGAGCTCAACAGTGATCGTGTATATTAAAAAATCTTAATATTTGAATAGCAGTTTGGATACCATGGCAACAGAAATACAAATATTAGGAACTCAATATTAAGTAATTTGTTGTTTTCAATCATCACAATTGCCTGCAAACCCTGCACACTGTCTGATTTGGCAACATGTTTGCACTTGTGTATCAGTGCCAATGGACTCATTCCTCTCCAACCCACATCTTATGAAATAGACATCTTTTTTTTTAAAGCTTATTATTATTGAAAATATGCATTACCTTAATGACTAATACATACTATCACATGATATCTTGAGCTGATTCTGGTGACCAGTTAGAGTCCGTGTTCCAGACATCCGAACAACGGGTCGCTTTGTTCCTGGTATGAAGCGCTGAACTCAAAGAGGCATTGTGCATTGAAACCGTAATCCACTCCTTTCTGTTCTTAATGGTTTTACTTTAGTGCAGCACTCAAAATTACGAGTCAAACACAGATAACATTTAGATTCTTTTTTTAATTTAATTTTTATTGACATTTTTATGACATCACAATACAAACAAGAGTGAAAACCCACAACCCAATCCATGGACATAACCCCCCCGCTACCCCAGAACACCCACACACACACCACAACCAGACAGGATGTAAACATATTACAAATAGGTCATCTATACCCTGAGCCAAGGACACAAAAGCAAACATATCATTATTATACATCATCAGTGTGTTAGTGCTACATCCAAGCTGTCCGCAATAGAAATGTCCATAAATAAAAAGATAAATCCATACAAGTCCAAATGTTGCAAGAAGGGACCCCAAGATTCTTTCCATTTATGTTTACATTGTGAATCATGTGTATCACTGAGACCAGTTCATGCAACCAGCTTCTGAGGCATGCTGGAGTTGGTGTCTTTTCATTTAACATTTAGATCCTTGAACAGAAGCTTAAGGCCTTTTTGGTCGCAACAGTCCCCTCCAAAAAAGGCAGCATAATGCTGGAAGGTCTGATTAACCCACAGTGTTTTGTTATCTTAGTCAAATTTATGCTTCATGTCACTCTTCCTCTTCCTCTTCTCTGAACTTACTCCTGTAACTCTACACCCTTGTACGTATCCAAAAATACTTCTTAGCTCCTTTTTGTAAAGCCGCACGTATTTATTTCCGTCTATGTGTGCTGTGTTTCCAGCCTCACATCCTGCTGTCTCGGTTTGCTTCCTTGCACTTGGATGTCCCTCTCTCTCATCTCTGCCGTTTAAAACCATCTGGCTTGAAGTCCGTCTTCTTCTTCTTGTTCTCATTTTGTATTGTGAGATAGAGTCAGTGATGATTTTCTTCACAGCACTTTTAACTGGCTGCATATTTAGATGGTGTGAAAAAAAAAATGTTTGAAAAAGTTGGTTGGGGATGGAGAGAGTGGCTGTGAGATTACAGTGTGGAGCTGCTGAAGCAGACAATATGGCACATAGTGGGTGTGAAAAGAAGGGGCCCGAGGGGTCTCTGGAGGTGTGCATGAGATTGAGAGAATGTATCAACACACATGTGAAGTCATATATGGAGCCGGAAATAGAGGGCAGTCACCTCTGAACAAAAAGCTCGGCTGCATTTACACCTTTCCCTCACACCGGGGACTACATCAGGTTATGAAGCACCTGCGGCAGAATGCCTGTTTATTTTATTTTCACTTACAGAATAGTTGATGCAAACAAAGAAACATTTTTCTTATGTTTCAGAATAAAAGCTTAACAAGCTTTTTTTTTTTTTCATTTGAAAATCATGGCGATAACGTAGATTCTCCTCTACACGTCCTGACTCGTTCTCTTCTTTTCTCTTTCTGCAGTCATCGCTGATTCGCTGACGGTGCGGCTCCCGCCCAGACTCTGTCCAAAGTGGAGGGCGACACGCTCCAGCTGACCTGCGAGGTGTCCCGCACCACGCTGCAGCACACTCACTTATCCGTGGGCTGGTACCTGCGCTCCCCAGAGGACGCCGCCGCCCCGCCTCAGGAGCTGGTCACCTTGTCGAGGGACTTCGTCCTGCGCTCGGGCGGACTGTACCGGCAGAGGATGGCGGCGGGGGACCTGAGGCTGGATAAAACCAGCGCTACGAGCTACAGGCTAACCATCCACAAGCTGCAGCCCGTGGACCAGGGCCTGCTGTACTGCCAGGCCGCCGAGTGGATCCAAGACCCGGATGGAAGCTGGTTCGCGATGACGCGCAAGCAGAGTGACAAGACTCAGCTGCGGATTCAGCCCACAGGTGAGTGAGGGGAAAACCAGGGCAAATGGGGCAGGGAGGGGGGGTTTGTGTATGTGTTGTCAACTATTAATAATAATAATAATAATAATAATAATAACTTTATTTCTATAGCACCTTTTAAAACACAGGTTTACAAAGTGCTTTGACAAACAGCAAAAACAAGAACAAACTAAACCAAACACAGAAGAACATAAACAACAACAAGAACAAACAAATGCAAAATACTCAAAATAATTAAATACAATTCAACAGAAAAGAACCCAAAGTGCACGATACCAACAGACATATAGAACCAGACCATCACAAGAACCATCATAAGAACCATCACAAGAACCATCACAAGAACCATCACAAGAACCATCACAAGAACCATCACAAGAACCATCATAAGAACCCAACAACACGAGATGAGACCAAGAGGAACCAAAGATTTAAAAAGATGTAAGAAACTAAAAGAGATAAAAGCAAATAAAAAGAGAACAGCAATAAGAAGGTAAGAGCAGAAAGAGAAACAAGTGAATCAATTATCAAAAAAACCAATATATTAATAATAATAAAAAGGATATATACATATAAAACATAAATAGACTAAGTAAGATAAAAAAAAATTACCATTTAATTAGCAGTTAAAAGTGGGTAAGGTGTCTACTCTTAAGTCCCCCTTGTCCTGTTTGACAGACAACACACCCGACCCTCTGATTGCTGATCAGTATCACATGCTAAGCTCATTAGTTCACTAAAAAAAAGGGCTTAACTGAACCTTCACAGGCTCCTCCCCTTTTTGTATGTCTGTGTGACGGGCAACATTACAAGCACATCCGAGGATATTCTAAGCAGCTCCAAACAGAGTGGGCGTCTGACACGGGAAGCCTCACATGAACGATCTCCCAGGCAACAAGTAGCCCAGAGATCAGAAGACAGAAACGTGTTCTTTTTTAAATGACTTCCTTGCCAACAATTACAGAATTCTTGTTTTGTGCTCGAGCACAGAAAGTTATTATTTTGAGGGAGAAGGCCTCGTAGCATAATGATCTAACAAGTAGCCCAGAGATCAGAAGACAGAAATGTGTTTTTCAATGCCAACAATTACAGCATTCTTCTTTTCTTTTTCTTTTATTGTAATAAGGTGAAAAAGTACAAAACAAAAATGTGAACAAAGACATGACAATTAAAGCAACGGCAAATAAACAAAAACAGGCAAAACAGAAATAAACAAAACAAATAGAAAATACGCAAAACATTAGCGAAGACAAATGAAAGAAAAGTGTGAATGTGTGTGTGGCAGTGTGATGCATTAAAGTGAGTGGCAAGAAAAATAAACAGCAACAAAATTGAAGATAATAGAGAGGAAAAGAAAAGACAAATTACAGCATTCTTGTTTTGTGCTTGAGCGCATTAGTGGGAAACAAAATCGTGCTGGTTCAGTGCGGTTGCCAACTCTGAAGGGGTGGATTGTCTAATGGGAGGGAGGAAGTGAGTTAGCATGGGAGGGAGGGAGGGAGGGAGGGAGGATGACACAGAGCTGAGGGAGTAACAAGGGGTGCATGATGGAAGTATATGGGAGAAAAAAAAGAAACATGATGGGGGAGAAGCATCATGATCTAATAAGCTGTCAACGTCTGGAGTCGATGAACCAGGAAACAAAGACGTCTTATAACCTCCCACCCTGCTCGACCTCGTCACCCCCCCCCCCCCCGCACTGGATCCCACTAGACATAAAGAATCTCTTTGTGGGTCTTAAGAAAGGACCCGGGTGATAAACTGCTTTGACATTAGCTCAATTACCGCGGCGGCACGTCTCATGCCAGTAAATCATCTGAAATTGGAATCATTTTGCACGTCGCCATCGAGCTTCAGATCGGCTCTGGACCGATGCAGCTTGATGGCGCCCCAGATAGCGCTGTGAGGATGAGAGGGAGAGGAAGTGAGATGTAAAGCGGGCTCGTCAGATGAGTTGCTACAACTTTAGGGAGGAGACAAAAAGGGAGCAAGGAGCTCCCCCTCTAAGCACCCTGTGTCACTCTCTCTGTCATCTATAATGGATGGAGGTGTTGTTGCTCGACAAAGAGAATACAGCAGAGTGTGAGACTGCCAACTTCAGCACGTGTGTGGAGTCAGTGCGATTTATCCTCGCCTGCTTGTTGCATAATGAGAGCAAGACGTGCTTCACTTCAGGATGATTTTTGTGCATTTGAAGTCGCACCCGTCCAGGTGTAACTTTTTAAAAAGCAAGAGAGGGAAAATATTAAGAGAGGAGGACGAGCGGCTCCTCCATCACGCTCTGATTCTAAAAGATGGAGTGGATCTCGAGAGACAGCACGTCACTAAGCTAATCAGCATCACAGAGAGGAGCAGAATGCTAATCGACTTTACATCTTTGTTTTTTTTTAAACTTTTCTCTTCTTTCTCACCTCCTCTGTTTGTTCTCACATCAACCCCCTCTCCTGCATTTTCACTTCCGCCTTTCTCCATCTGCTTCTTGCTCTTTAAAATGGTTTATTTTATTATCTCTTGTCCACATGCCGGACATGTGAGTCTGACTCTCTGCAGCCTCTTGGCTAAACTCTTTTTGTAACGCTTGGTCTGAACTTTGAGCAAATCAAAGCAGGTCACATGTATGAAATCACTTTCCAAATGTCATAACACGATGTCCCGCTGCTTTAATGTAGGCGGAGCCTCAACAGATCTCTTCTTCTTGAATCGTGTCCTTTTATTGCTTCAGTAATGATTTTTTTGTCGTTGATTATCCTTCTGATATTGTTTTTTTTTTTTTTAAGATTTATTTTGGGCGTTTTGTGCCTTTAATTGAGAGATAGGACAGTGGATAGAGTCGGAAATCAGGGAGAGAGAGAGAGGGGAGTGACATGCGGATGGAGCCACAGGCTGGACTTGAACCTGGGCCGCCTGCTTAGAAGACTATAGCCTCCATACATGGGGCGAGCGCACTAACCACTGTGCCACCAGCGCCCCATCCTTGTGGTACTTTCTGATGTATATGATTAATTCGGCCTCTAACTTGATGTTGTTTTTGATAAATCTGAATAATCTTTTTAGAATATTAATTCACCGTTCAGTCTATGAAATGTCAGTTTACAGATTTTGATTTTTTAGCACAGGTTTCACATTCTGAACAACCCTCCTGGTATTTCCTAGCTGTTTGTCTTTAGGTAAAAGTCGCTCAGCATTCTAGTTCACCGGCTTCTCCAGTATGTCAATATTTAGAATTGTTTGTGCACTTTTTTCTTTAGGTGTTAACGACATCCTTCTCCCTTCCACCACATTGTTCCCCGTGCATAACGAGCTCTATACCAACCTCTGCCTTTTGAACTTCTCCACATGAAGTGTGTCTCTCAGGAAGTCTCTTTTAAAGTCTCTGTAATTACAGCTCAGCGACCATCTCACTCGGAGGCAAAGCAGCCGTCTCTCATACACACTGTGCTCATCATCTGGAAACTAACACAGCAAATAAGAAGTGAACACACACTAACTTAAAAACACACAAACAACGGCGCAGCAACAGCAGGCTCGATGTGTCCTCGAAGAAGAGCTAACACGAGCAGTGTTGACTCTGTCTGAGGAGGAGGAGAGAGCCTGACTGTGGATCAGACTGCTCAAGAGAATGTTAATTAGACGTGTTTTTTTATTGCAGAGGTTAAACCAAGGGGGGGGGGGGGAGGAGAGCAGAGCGCTCTGAAAGATCAGCGTTTTAGTGACCTCCAGCGTTTCTGCTTTCTGTTCTCTCGCTTCTTTTCCTCCACTCTCAACTGATACTTTTTAATTGCCCTCATCCATTCCTGACCCCCTTTAAAGCCCACCTCTACCTCCTCTACCTATCTCAGCCATCGCTCTCCCCCCTCTCTCTCTCTTTGAGCATTCAGGTTCAGCACCCCCCGACTGTGGATATTAAGGAAAACACTGCATGTTTGGCATTTCAATTGCAGCCCTTATTTAGACATCAGGAAGTCGTTTTTGGATTTTTATTTTTATTTTTATTTGAACACTTTATTGCAGGCTGTTTTACTACATTACAAGTTGTCATATTTCATCACAAATTTTGTTCATTCTGGCACATTTTTATATATATATTTTTTAAACATACAAGAATACATACAACATGAAATAAAATAAAAATAAATAAAATCCAAAGAAAAGGTACAAAGAGAAAAATGATAATTCAATTAAGATTTAGAAAGGGGAAAAAAATAAAAATAATAATAATAAAAAATGATAATAATAATAATAAAATAATAATAATAATAATAAAAAATGATAATAATAATAATAAAAAATGATAATAATAATTAAATAATAATAATTAAAAAATCATAATAAAAAATTGCTTCCACACCTCCTCTCCTAAAATCTGCTGCTCTATTTGGTATCTGATGCTGTGTCTTACTGTTGTAGGATGAAATACTTATCTTACTAAGCCCCGACGACGTGCAACATTCAAAAGAGAATTTTTTTTCTCTTGTTTCATATCACAGAGCGTTTCTTTTTCTTTAATATCCCTTCAACCTTGACTCGTCTTTTTCTCTTCTCAGATCGAGATTTCAGCATCCAGGTGAGCACGGAGCGACGGTCCTTCACGGCCGGTGAGCCGCTGGAGCTCCGCTGCACCATCGAGGCCCAGAACGTCCCGGAGCGCTTCTTCTCGGTGTCGTGGGTCTTCAGCAGCTCATCGGTGGCCGTGGTGGGCCCGAGTGCCGTGCCGGTCCTGGGCCCGGAGTACGTCGCCCGAGAGGCCGCCGGTCACTTGACGGTGCGCAAAGAGAGCGCCAACGTCCACCTGCTCAAGCTGCAGCACCTCCACCCCGACGACGCCGGGAAGTACATCTGCCGCGTGACGGAGCGGGAGAGGACGCCCACGGGAGACTTCATCGACCGCAGCAAGAGGTCCAGAAACGTCCAGATCACAGTGCAGCCGATCAGTGAGTCACTGAGTCCTCGAGGCCACCCGGCTTTATTTATCTCGTCCTTAGTTTGTCAATTACTCTAAAGAATGATGAGATTTTCATAATAAGAGCTTTATCTTCATGTAGGCAGGATGAGACTCTCTCTCTGTCTTTCTGTTTCTCCAAGGTGGCCTTTAAGAGATAGCAGCACAACCTCTATTGTTAACTGTGAGTGGGGGGGGGGGGGGGGGATAATGCCCCTCTTACACCTAATATATTTTGTGTTTGAGTGGACTGCTAAGGATTGGTAATGCAGCATTATGATACTTCCCATTTCCTTTGGCTTTAGCTGAGAGATGCAGGTAGGGTGGTGTAGGGGGTGTGTGTGTGCGTGTGTGTGTGTGTGTGTGTGTGTGTGTGGGGGGGGGGGGGTGTAACACTATAGCTGGATAATGGCGAGCAGAAGACTCGAGGAGGCTGAGCTAACAGCCATGAAATTAAAGCGTTGGATAGAGAAAAGAAGCAGAGAAAAGGCGCCCGGCTCTCAGGGGTCCTCTAATGGTTCCCCCACCCTGAATTTAACCGGTTCTACAGTACAGGAGGGTGGACCACCCTAGCTGGGTTAAGCAGGACGTCGGGGTCATACAGTAGGTGATCTCTGCAAATGTGAAGAGAAACGTGGGACAAAAAAACGGGCCAGCCAACGAAATGTTCTACATGAGATGAAAAGATCTGAAAAAAGCAAAAAGGCAGTTTTTTGATTGCACCTGAAGTACACGCTAAAGTACACGCTAAAGTACACGCTAAAGTACACGCTAAAGTACACGCCCACTTCCATCTGAAAAGCTTTGTTTAGATGAAATGTATTCTGTAAAATGTTGAGTGAAACCCGGGTGCATGAGGTCGATTATATGGACTATAATTGAAGCTATGTTATATACACCGCACAGAGGAGATACTTAATCCACCAAATAACATAAAAACAAACATTGCAATGTAACCAGAAACTGCTTTTTTACTGTTTATGATATTACATTACAAAGACTTATTGTTATTGTATATCTGCAGCGTTCCCATATCATCCAATACTGAAGAAACATCGGATAGTTTATTTTGAAAAAAACACCAAATCTCTCACGTGCAGCCCTACCTCTTCTCCTCTCTCTGTACCTCCATGTGTCTCAGGACAGGAACAGTGTGTGGAGCCGGCTAGCTGCAGCCAGCATAATAAAACATAATAAACACAGTAATATCTCCTCGAGAGCAGCCAGCGCTACCTTATCCTGACCGCGCTGCAGCCCCTCGCTAAATCAACCCAAAACAATGGCCCCCAAGCCTGCAGTCGTCTCCAGGGAGCCTCTCTGTATGAGAGGTTTTTGTTTTTCCAACAAAAGACCTTAATGCCCCGTAAAGGATGTTTATAGGGTTTACACAGGATAATGGTCGTGGTTATTAGAGGAGAACTTCCCTGAAATACAGCAGTTGTGGTCAGACCGACTGGTTTCTCATGCACAAACTCTCCTCTCATGGTCGGCTTTCAAGAAGTGCTCCGATCGGATAATTGGGGGAGAGTGGGGGCATAGGGTGAGGCGGGGGTTAAAAGTGATGAGTCAGAGGCAGGCAGGGGTGACAGCGGAGGAAAAGAAAAGATGTAAACACTTGAGGCAAATCAGCCATGATGGATGAGTTTACCTTGGCAGGGAGAACGGTAAAGAGAGCTCACATGCCGTTCTGAATCTCCTTCATACAGATGGTAAAGGACAAGTTGTGGGGGTAAGGGGGGAGGAGAGAGAGTTTACTGAAAGAGAGGGGAAATGCTTTGTGAAGTTTGATAAACAAAGAAGAAAGAGCCAGAATGGAAAATTGTTTAAAAAGATTTGAAAATAAAGTTTGAAATGAAGAAAAAAGGGGGAAAAGTTTGAGAAAAAGCCGCAGCTGTCCAGAAAGTCGACAATTTTCTCCTCAGTATGAAAAAGTAATGGAATACAAAATGTTCTCTGCTGTGGAGAAAAAAAACATGTAGCTGTAACAATGAAAGACAAAAACAGGGAGGAAGAGGATGAAGGCTCTTTGTTCATCTGAGTGTGAGAGAAATAAGAGAGTTTATTCCAGACAGAAAGAGAGAGAGTGTGTGAGAGAGAGAGAGTGTGTGTGTGAGAGAGAGAGAGAGAGAGAGAGAGAGTGTG